GTAGCTCATATCATACAACATAGACATCAGGACAGAGTATTATTGGAGATGAATAAGAACATTACATAATGATGAAAGGATCAATTCATCAAGAAGACATAAAAACCTAAAATTGTATGTACTTAATAACAGAGCCTTAAAATACATAAAGCATAAACTGACATAACTAAAAGGAATAATGAATAAAATCACAATCATAGTTGGAAATTTTCACACTTCTCTTTCACTGATAAAATAAGTAGACAGGCCCTAGCTGGCTTGGCTCAGTGGATAAAGCATCAGCTTGCAGACTGAAGGGTCCCAGGTTCGATTCCTGCCAAGGGCACATGCCTGGGTTGCGGGCTCGATTCCCAGTAGAGGGCATGCAGAAGGCAGCCAATCAATGATTTTCTCTCATCGTTGATATTTCTCCTTCTCCCTTCCTCTCTGAAATCAATAAAAAAATATATTTATAAAAAAAAAATAAAATCAGTAGACAGAATATAGTGGGAATATAAAGACTTGAAAAAATACTATCAACCAACTTGATATAACTGACATTTATAGAACATTACACTTAACAATGGTAAAATGTACATTCTTTTCAAATGCCCATGGATCATTCACTAAAATAGACCATTTGCTATTTGTTACATAACACAAGTCTTAACACATTCAAAAAGATGGAAATCATAGAATACATTTTCCTATTACAAAATGTTAAACAAAAAATTAAGAATAGTGCTACGATATGACCCAGCAATCCTTCTTGTGGGTATCTACCTGAATTTTTTGAAAGTATCTATGTGTAAAGATATATGTACCCCCGTGTTCATTGCAGCATTATTCACAGTGGCCAAGACATGGGAACAACTGAAGTGTTTTTCAATAGATGATTGGATAAAAGCTATGAGGTACATATATACAATGAAATACTGCTCAGCCATCAGAAAAGATGAAATACTGCCGTTTGCGACATGGACGGATCTTGAGAGTATCATGCTAGGCAAAATAAGTCAGATGGAAAAGTCAAGATCATATGACCTCACTCATACCTGAGATATAAAACTGAAAGCAACAAACAAGACAAACAAACAAACAAAAATTCATGACACAAACAACAGTATAGTGGTTACCAGAGGGGAAGGGGGATGGGAGGAGGTAGTAAAGGGTAAAGAGGGTCAAATATATGGTGACAGAAAGATACTTGACTTTGGGTGGTGAACACACAATGCAAGATACAGACGATGAATTATACACTCAAAACTACATAATTTTATTAATGATGTTACCCCAATAAACTTATAAACATTTATGAAATAAATAAATAAAATACAATAATTAATAACAATAAGATATCTATTAAATACCCACTTTTGGAAATTAAATAATATGGTTTTAAATAATTCATGAATTAAGAAGGTCACAGAAAATTTAAAAATATCTTGACCTGAATAGTAATGGAAATGAACACACTAAATTATTGGTACACAGCTAATGTGGAATTGAGTGCATCTAAACAGTGCTTAAAGGAAAACGTAGAGCTTTCAATGCATATATTTAGAAAAGAAGAAAAGTCTAAAGTCAATGATGTAAGATCCCACCTTAAAAAGCTAGAAAAAGAAGAGCAAATTAAACAAAGTAGAAGGAAGAAAATAATATAAATTATTGTAAAGCAATGAAATTGAAAATAGACAAATAATTGAGAAAACCAATGAAATAAAGACATGATTCTTGCCCTAGCCAGTTTTGCTTAGTGGTTAGAGTGTCAGCCCATGGACTGAAGGGTCTCGAGTTCAATTCTGGTCAAGGGCATGTACCGTGGTTGCAGGCTCAGTCCTTGGCTCTGGGTCAGGGCCTGTGCGGGAGGCAGCCAATCGATGTGTCTCTCTCACATCCATGTTCACTCTGTCTCTCCCCCTCCCTTCCACTCTCTCTCTCTAAAAAAAAAAAAAAAAAAAATCAATGGAGAAATGTCCTTGGGTGAAGATTAAACAAACAAAAAATTTCGATTAATTGGACTTTATCAAAATGAAAAAAACTGCTCTGAGAGACACTTTAAAAAATTAAAATTTCAGATATGAACTGAGAAAATATTCTTGAGACACATATCTTTCAAGGGACTTGTATAATATCTTACAAAGAACTCAGTAATATAGGCAAAAAGTTTGAACAGACATTATTAGTCATTAGGGAAATGTAAGTTAAAACAATACCAGTAATCACCCATAAAAATAGGCTAAAAAAAAAAACCCCAAAAACCTGACAATACCAAGTTTTGGAGGAGCAACTAGAACTCTTCCAGATTTTAGAAGTGTAAATGGTTCAACTACTTCGCAAATAGTTCATCAAGTGTTATAATGTTAGATACACATTCACCATGTGACCCAGAGATTCTGCACCTAGATATTTGCCCAAGAGAAAGGAAAATGTATATCCACAACCAAGATTTGTACACAGATGTTCATAGCCCCAAACTGGAAATAACTCAAATGTCTAACAACAGGTAAATGGAAAAACAAATTGTGGCAAATCCATACAATGGAGTACTATCCAGCTATAAAAAAGATTGATCTCCTGTGCGTGTGATAGCATGGTTGAATCTCAAAGGCATTATGCAGAGCAAGAGAAGCCAGGAGAGTATATTTTTATACTCCATTTATATGAACTTTTAAAAAGGCAAAAAGCAGACTTGTCATTGGTGGAGCCAGGGTACAAACTCAGATTGTCTTGGGTGGGCTGAGGGAAAATTCTTGCCGAGTAGAAATGGAAATGTCCTTTATTTATTTTTATTTTTTTTTTTGGGGGGGGGGGCATGGTTACATGGTTATAACCATGCATCAGACTTTCCACTTAAAATGGGTGCATTTTATTATGTGTGAATTATGCCTCAATCAACTTGAATTAAGAGGAGAAAATATTTTTATGTTATTGGGATAGAGACTGATTTTTTGAATAAGATAGAAAAATTATAAATCACAAAGAAGGAGCATTGTTCTGCATTAAAATTCGAAACTTCTGCATATCAAAAGACACTACCATCAATGTTAATAAAACAGTCCAGAGACTGGGAGAAGATATTTATAGCCCATACAACAACAAAACAGTTCAGTATCTGGAATATTTCACAAACTGTTATAAATCAGTAAGAAAAATAAATACAACTAATCTAATAGAAAACTGGGCAGGATATCATCAGGCAAATAAATCATAAGTGAGAAAAACTAAATAGTCCACAAACCTGTGAAAAGATATCCAAGCTCACTAATAAACAAACAGGGTAATATAAATAAGAATGGCAAGTTGTGATCAGCTGATAATACCAACTGGCAGCAAGCATGCAGGGAAATGGGGACATTTTTGTTGAACAATTTGGAGACGAATTTGCAAGAGCTGGGAAAGTTGACCATGGACTTCCCTATCACCTGACAGTCTCTCATTCAGCTATAGACCCCGAGTCCTCAGGGCCAGATTCACAAGCAGACATTAACATGTGTTCAGCACAGCATCGTTTACAGCCCCAAATTTCCACTATTTGAGCAATGAATAAATAAAATGCAAAATAGCCATATAATGTAATATACTCAGTAACTGAAATAACCTAAATCTTTATCAACATGACCATAAGAGATAAATATACGTATATATTTATTTATATTAAATTTATATTAATTTAAATTATATGTGAGAGAGAGCGCTACACAAAGAGATATACTGTCCTAAATGGGAGGTGCTTAGCAGGACCTGAGAAGGGGTGCCCGCTTTGTGGAGTAGAAGTGTTGGGGTGCACTGCTGAAACTGCCTGTGGATAAGGCGTCTCAGAGACCCTAATACTTCCCAACAGAGACCAAGTCGAGCTCTCTGTCAGCCACGCAGATCCTTTGAATGTGTGGGACGCTGCTGCCCGCCCGCCTCACCCGTGGCAATAAGATAGGAACAAGCACTGGGAAACGTTGTGATCCCGCACAACCTGAGCTGCAGAATGCGAGATGAGGGAGCCCGCAGGGCCTCCCGCACTACCCACATCACAGCCTCGCCTGCGTTTTTCTTCTCCCCTACCATTCCACTTACTTGGGCTCCGCAGACTTGCTTTGAGGTTTGGCACTTTCACATTTTTAATATAAACCCAGATTCTTAAAGACATCGGCATCAAACCCTTTATAAAAATAATAAGTAAGTAAATAAATAACAGAAAACCAGAAAAATCTACTTCCTAATTTTCAACCTGCCCTTTGTCTCCATAAAGGACATGCACATAAGAGTAGCCTGTAGGTTGTAACCTTTTTTCTAAAAGAGCAAAGAGCAATCTGCTTTCTCCTCCCATGCACCCTAACCTGCAACTCGCACAGCAGCACTGGGTGGAGGCCTGCTGGGCCTTGCACCCCTGAACCCAGCCCCGCTGGAGACTGGGTGTAAAAAGGTGGGAGGTGGACACGGCTGAGGTTTGTCTGTAACCACGACCCTGCCCGAATCTGTCCTTGTCTGTCTTCTGTGGGGAATTTAAAAAGCATCAGCATCGCAGCTGGACAGGATCAGCAAAGTGAATAAAGGCCCTTTTTGTACCGGTCAGAACCACTTCCCTGCCAAATGTGTTCCTTTTGCCCTGGCAGATACCCTCTCCGCCTGGCTCTGTGCCCTCAAGGCTGGCTGTGTGGATGCATTAATGGGCTCCTTTGCCTCTGGCTTCCAGTTGGGTCCAGCCCCTGGGATTCTCCCACTCAAGACCGGAATGGGAGAGAAGAAGGAAAGAGGGCTGTCTGATGAGGAAGGATTTCTGAGGCGTTTTGGTGAGGAAGTGGGCACTGGGAGAATGGAGAAGGCCATGGGGAAGGAGGGAGAAGGCCACGGGGATGGAGGGAGTCCACCAACGTTCTTCACGTACAAGTCCACGTACAAGTTCTCTGTGTCTACAAACAGAGTGGTTGGAAACACATGGTACACTTATGCTGGGCTCTTGAGTCACCTGGTGACTAATCAGTCCCTGGCAGGGTGTCTACTGATAGGCAGCTGCGGCCTGTTTCCCAGGGATCCTTGGGAGCAGCGCCGTCCGGCCGTCCGAGGACCTGTGAGCAGGCCCAGGAGTGAAGGATGCAGGCTGCCCCTATGGGAGAGTTTGGCCAACATTTTCCCCCTGAGAACCAACAACACAAACCAATTTACCCGTAAGTGTTACCTAAACACCTGCCATCTTTGCCCCTGCTGCTGCCCTGAGGGCTCCCAACCTGCAGCCAGCATGAAACAGCAGTTAGAGGTACAGAGAGAGCCCACAGAGGATGATGCCTTCCATGGGAGGTGGTCGGTGTGGAGGTGACAGGAATGGGCCTGGAGTCTGGAGAGGTGGCGGGTAGTGATAATAGTGATACTGCCCAACAGACGTTACCTGCGTCCCAGGCCTGTGCTGAGGGCTTCACCTGAGTTATCTCAGTCAGTCCTCCCCTTGCAGGACAGGAAACTGAAGGTGAAAACAGGTAAGTGACCTGCCTATGATGACAGAGGGCGCAGCGTGGGTTGAGGGATGGGACAACACAGAGCACGTCAGGGGAGGGGCAGAGGCCAGTGAGGGTGGAGTGGAGACCTGGTGAGGGGTATGGAGTGGCAGGGGGCTCCCTGTGGTGAGGGCTTCCAGGGCCAGGCTGAGGGGCCAGGGCTGGAGGGGGCGGTAGGGGGGTGGGAGAAGCCAGGAGGGCAGCCCTGAGGTGCTTCCGGGAGAAGTGCCCTCCCCCTTCCCGCCACCCCATCAGCTCTTTTTCATTCACATAAAGCTGGGTTTGTTTCCATTTATCTGCTTGACTTTTCAGCCAGATGCTGTTAGAAAAACATATTGCTCTAATTTAATCCACATGTGCATCCCCAAGACAGAGTCTAAAAGGAAACTTCAGGTCCTGAGACCCAGGCCCAAAGCCTCAGCCCTGTGGCCGTGGCAAGGAAGGGCTCTGGCCTCAGGGCTGACCCTGATCCAAGTTTTAGGCCCTTCCTGAAGAGAGTCCGTACCCCACTGTGTCGTGGGCAGGCAGGAGGGGGTGTCGTCGGAAAGGAGACTCGAAACCTGGCTTCCAATGCCGGCTCCCTGCAACTGCTGGCAGCGGAAGGGACACAAAAAGGCCAGTGGGTACCGGATGGGGTCAGTGCTGAGGGCTCGGACTCCTCGACACTCCTCCTACTACCTTGCCCAGGATCAAAGTCTCAAAACTCTGAGGCAAGCACGAGTGGCATGAGGCAGTGGGGAAGGTGCTGTGCGGGGTCGAAGCCACAGATAACCCAGGGCTAGAGCTCTTCACTGAGCACAAGACCCCATGAGATCTGGTCCAGCCGCATGGCTGCGCAGCAGGCGTGGTTTAAGAAACTTGTCTCACAGCCCCGCCTTGCTGGCAAAAGCGAGCAGGGAACAGAGCCAGCGTGCTTGTTTCAACACCCTCTTCCAATTCTCTTCCTGTCACATAACTTACTGTGAATATACTTCTATTGGTTGGAGTAACTGATTGCCAAAGATTAGAAAACCCATTTCACGTATGTGTTTATTCACTATAGGGACTGGAGACATAGCACCAAAAGACAGAGCCGAAATGCCTAATTCTGATTCAAGACTAGGACCCTTTTGTTGGCTTATGAGTCAAGATCTTGGTGAATTAATCCATGCAGAAATGATGGTCCACCTTCCACACGCTCACCACCTCCAGAGCGTCTTTCTCTGCTCCAGAACTCACTGCCTGTTTGGTCTGGCCTTGGTTTCTGAGCAAAGACACATTTAAATACCTGCACATGAGGAAACTGGTGTCTGAGGCAGCCCTGGAGCATTCACACAATCACACAAGCAGCTTCTTCTGGGACTCTCGGGGACCCCTCTCACCCTTACAGAGCCCTCAGCTGGGAAAGGCCAGGATTACCCTCAGAGCCCATGTGGGTGGTGTCGCAAAGGAGGCTGCTGGAAGGAAGGGATCTGGGCAGATCATAATCTCATGTTTGAATTGTACTAAAATGTATTTCTATCAGAAACAGCAAAGGAAATTAGGATAGTGCCTGAGAGGTCAGCCCATTCACTGCCCACAGTCGGAGAACAGTCCCTGTTCATGTCTATGACTGGGCGGCCTTCTCAGCATCCTTTCTGCCAGAGGCAGAGCAGGGCTCCCTGGGGCTCATATGGAAAGCTTTGGAAGCTGCCAGGCCCCCTCAATCTGGATAGGGGTTCAGCTGTGCCGCCAGCATGCAGCTACCAGGAGCTTCCTCCTGAGGCACGGCAGCACCCCCTTAGTGCCATTTCCATATGGGCAATGTTGGGAGGCCATTCTGGGTTTTGCGAGGACAGGTGTCCAGGCCAGACTGGCTGTTCTGGTTCTTTGGGGACGGTTCAGCCCAGCTCTTGGCCAATCCTTTGATGAACCCCAGGCAAAGAAGCTCCCAGGCAATCACAGCGGAGGCACTTAGCAAGAACCCAGAGCCGAGAGCAGGCAGGGGACACAGACGTCCAGAACGCTAGATTTGCACACGTAACCCTGAGCCAACACATGGATCCCACAGTGAAGGCCTAGGACTCCGCAGCTTTGAGCTCACCTCACAGGAGGTAGAGGTAGGAGGTCCCAGATGCAACCCCAGGTCCAGCACCAGAAACCAGCCACTACACACCAGCTCCAGGAAGGGAACCCAGCCCACACGAACCTCAGGCAGCAGGACGTCCACATCACTTTCCTTCCTTAGTTGGGGCTGGGCCTAAATTTTGGTTTAGCAGATTGGTCTTTCCAAGTCCCAGTGATGAAATTGCCTTTCACCAGTAACGGAGTTGATAACAGCCACACAAATGTACGCCAGGTCCCTGGCTCACAGGCACCGAGGCCGCCCGTGTTCCTCTGATGGAAACTTTTTTATGGTTTGACAAGAATTTAATGTGATTCTTTTTTCCATGAAGAGCTGGGCCTCTAGACACAACGCTATTCAGTTACGCTGTAATCTTGGGGCTCAATCAAAACATATTCCAACAACCTAGTCTAGTGCTACAAATGAATGTTTATTTTAAGACAATTTGCTATGGCTTTTATTTTTTTTAAAGGAGAGAGAAGAGAATTTCTTGGAGGGAGATTTCCCCCTGCCCCTAAGCAGTTCTCTTCACTCCAAAGGCTGTGTCATTTGCTCAGGTTGTAATTAGCCACAGAGCTGTTTGGGAGAAAGGAACAGTGAAAGGGCATTCGACAAAGAGTTAACAGATGTCATTTTGGAGGTGGCTGGCCCGCTGCTCTGTTGTTTGTTGAGGGGAAGCTGATTTTGCTGCTGTTGTGAGCCGAGAGTAGTAATAATTATATGCGAGCTGCATTAGGCATAACAGATTGGATTATAACATTCTGTTCAGAATCAGCTCAGGCCATTTCTCTCGAGTTACAATGGAGACGGCCCTAGATCCCAGTTTTGAAAGTCATCTTCAAGGATTCCTAAAACTCTCCAATGGAGAAATAGGTCGTGTTCTGCCCCAGCTAATCCTGCCGCGTCCGGGGATCGCAGAGTCTGCTCCAGACCGAGCCGGGCACCCCTCAGCCAGCCAGCCTCACCGCGCCACAGAGCTGCCTTTTTCCATTTGAAAAATGAAAGAATTAAATTCAAAACAAACAACTTCAATTTAACACCAAACTACAGGATAACCAATCTTAAAAATGTCACAGCGTAATGGATCTTAATACCCACAGAAAACACAAAAACAGCACCATTGTTCCCCAGCAATGCAGAGCAACCTCACAGAATTTCAGTGAAGGAGAAAGAAGGGAAAAACACCTTATTACTTCCAACCCCTGCGAGCCATTTTGGTCTCCAAAGGTTTTAGGCTGCCCGAGGCCGTGTGTCTGCAGTGTTTCGGGAAATGACTTGCCTTTGCACGAACGCTGCTCTGTTCTGCAGCGAGGCTGCCTGCCCCGGAGCAGTGCCGCTCCATTTCTGGTTAACTCTTCCTTCCCGGGCTTGCCGCTCGCAGGAGCAGTATGGCCAGGCTGGCGGGGCAAGGCCCAGGGATGCCAAGGCCCTCAACCCAGCCTCCTGCAGGGGCACCAGGACCCACCCAGCGAGGAGCAGCTTCTGGCCTTATCAGGAAGGCCAGCTGCCCACAGCTCTTTGGAGAATCTGTTCTCAAACCGACTATTATGAAACACACAACACACTGAAGCCAGAGGACAGCAGTGGGGCCCTGTGGACCAAGACTGGCCAATCCAGCCTCATAGGGTACCCCCTGGAGACAGCTTAAGTCTCTGCCACAGGCCCAAGCAGGGACAATCTCCTGGTTATCACGGTTGGAGCAGGGCCCAGCCTGCTACCTGGGCAGGACCTGGGCCTGAGGACACTTGGTCCCATCCACCCATTCCAGCCCCACCCCCAGGCAGAGACAGACACGGACTAACAGCACCTCTGCACAGGGACAGAAACACATCTGGGCTGCACGTCTGAGCGAGGAGACCACAGAAAACCTCTTAGCACTGAAGAGGTTAATACAATTCCTAAGTGTTCGGCAATCAGTGCAATTTAGTGCCATTTCGATTATTACACAATAAACGGACCATGTTGTCTGGAAGCAAATTTTTATGAGTATAGCTGAAGGGGCTGCAACTTATTTAGCTGCTGAAGCTCAAAAGGGAAGAGCATTTCCAAATGCTAACACCACGGATCGTAAGTGCAGGTAGCAGAGAAAGGTTATTCTTAGGTCACTGCTCCTGCCACTCAACACCATGACCTTTCAAATGACTCTGTCATTAAAAGGAAATAAAGTTCACCAAAGTGTTCTTTAAACAGAATCATTTTAATAACAATGGTGTTGAGTTTCAGAGGGAAAGATTTGGGAATTTTGAGAAACACGTTATGTAAAGAACATCTTGTTAACATGGGCTGGGAATATGTAGACTGTTTTGCCTACCTCAAATACACATTAAACACATGCACACATGTGCACACACATGCACACGCACAACAAAACCAGGCAGTTCCTAGACACACAGGCCACTGCTGTACTTTACAGGTACTTGGGTGCAATGATCACAAACCACGGCAAATTTCTAATATAACAAGAGACTCATACATTTAAACTGGAAAATGGGAATGTAGGGAGAACTGCAACTCGGAGCCTGTGCAAAATTTCACTGCACACTCATCTCCAAGAGACACTTTTCCCTCCAGGCACCCCAGGTTCAGATCTGGGGAGGAGCAGAGGTTCACCCCAGACCCAGCAATGGAGGAAGGAAGTCATCCCAGATGTACTTCAGGGTTCGAGGTTAAAATGTGCACATGTGCGCATAGACTTTGCATATTTAAGGCTTGCAAAGGGCTCTCACATTCATGAGGTGTCTGGAGCAACCAAGCTGCCCTCTGAATGAGGCAAGGAAGGTGTTATTTGTATCCCCATTTTACAGATGATATAATTGAGGCCCCACCTATGAAGGAACAACTGTTTTGGCCCACACCAACAGCTGCTATATTTCAAGGACCTCTCTCAGAGGAGATGAAACCCCAGGAGAAAGAAGGTCTAGATGCCCTCCTTTGGGAGATTTGAACACTTGTAGCTAACCCTGATGCCTGATCCACAGTCCCAAAGGACCTCTCATCACACAAGGTCCCTGGGACCCAAGGAGCTTAATGTGGGCAGCATGGGGGACAGGGCAAAGCTGCAAAGGTCCACCCTGAGCCTCAGCCAGGGCTTGAGGAGTGCGCATGCTGCTGAGGGAGATGGGTGGAGGCTGTGGGAGCATAGCCTCTGCCCCGTGGCAGGGAGGTAGAGCACCTCATGTCCAGGAGGCCTGACTGGATCCTAGAGCTGCCTTGGCCCCACCAATAGCAGGGGGTGCAGAGAGGTTCCAGCTGGTAAGAGCAGGTAAGCATTTCCACAACACCTCCCGCAGATCAGCATCCTGACTCCGGAAATCCTACCATTAGAAAAGCAGAGGCTCTCAAACACAGGAGCGCCTGCGGAAAAGACACATTTCTGATTACGTAGGTCTGGAGCGGGGCCCAGGGGCCCCGTATGAACAGGCTTCTCAGGTGAATCTCATAGCAGATGGTCAGAGACGCACACCTGAGAACCCCTGATTTGGGGTCACATTTCTTTGTGTGCAGCAACCTTCCTAGGTCTTTCAAAAACACCAGGCTCCTTGGAGGGACAGCATATTCAGTTCCTAACATGAGTTTATGAGATACTCCCAACAACCCTCCAGTCTGTCTGTCCATCTGTCCGTCCATCCGTCCATCCATCCCTCTATCCATGCACCATCCTTCTCTTCAACAGATCCTTCCGGACACCTATTCTGTGTCAGGCTACCTTCTAGGTGCTGGAGTGATAAAAGAGGCCCCAGCATGCACAGGAAGGAACAGGCCTTGAAAGGGGCTGGTGGATCAGAGACAGGACACCACTACGGGAGACCCAGAGGTGGGTGAGTCACCATGGTTGTACACGTGGTTGGCCCTGGGCTCAGGGTCCCACAAGCAGGCCCTGCACTGCTTAGACCACGATGAGAGATGGCTCACAGCATGGTTCGGGCCCCTAGGGCATTAATAATCTTCTCAGGAAGTAAAGTCCTTGCCCTCTCAGGTAGGAAAATGCATTTCATGATCATTGTATGGTGAGAGAGAGCAGGAGGTTGACATAAAAGAAAAACGAGAATAAGAGGAGAATGGCTACGGGAACCACAAAGAGACTGCAGAAAATTCTGCATCTGAGGCCCCTTTACAGACCAGGCAAGACCTATTAGGAGCCCAGAAGCCACCAGGCTTGTCCCCATGCTCCAACTCTATTTTGAATTCTCTTTGAAACATTGTGTGTAATTGGCCATTCAAAACAACCGCAGTACTTATAAAGCCATCACCCATGTGGTCCAGTCTCAGGGCAGTGTCTCAGACAAAGAAACACAATCAAGTAACTGAAGTGTAATTTCAAAGTAAGCCAAGTTCAATCCTGACATTTCTCCGACAGTCTGAAGAAGGTACATAGATCACAGCACTGAAATCCATCCCTTCTCTCCCGCTTCTCCCCTGGCGTACTGCAGTTGCCCCATCTTTTCCACACTCCTTCTCTCTATATATATGTTTAAAAAATATTTTTACTGATTTCAAAGAGGAAGGGAGAGGGACAGAGAGATAGAAACATCAATGATGAGAGAGAATCATTGATCAGCTGCCTCCTGCACGCCCCCTACTGGGGATCGAACTTGAAACCCAGGCATGTGCCCTTGACAGGAATCAAATCCGGGACCTTTCAGTCCATAGGTTGAGGCTCTGTCCCCTGAGCTAAACCAGCTAGGTCTCTCTCTCTCTCTCTTTAAAATTTTATTTTATTGTTGACATTATTACAGATGGCCCCCATATGCCCCGTATGTCCCCATCCACCCAGACCCTGCCCTCCCCTCCCTCTGGCTGTAACCACATTGTTGTCTGTGTCCATGGACTATGTATGTATGTTCTTTGGCTATTCTCCTCACCTTCTTTCATCCCATCTGCCCCCACAACACACACACTTCCCCTCTGACATCTGTCAGTCTATACCATGTATCCATGACTCTGGTTCTACTTTGTTCGTCAATTTATTTTGTTCCTTAGATTCCATATATTACTGAGATCATATGGTATTTGTCTTTTTCTTACTGACTTATTTCACTTAGTAGTATAATCTCTAGGTCCATCCATGCTATCACAAAAGGTAAGAGTTCCTTCCTTTTCATGCCCATGTACTATACCACTGTGTAAATATACCACAGCTTTTTTATCCACTCAGCACTTGGGCTGCTTCCATATCTTAGCTATTGTAAATAATGCCGCTATGAACATAGGGGTACATATGTTCCTTCTGATTGGTGTTTTGGGATTCTTAGGATATATTCCCAGAAGCGGTATTGCTGGGTCAAAAGGCAGTTCCATCTTTAATGTTTTGAGGAAACTCCATACTGTTTACACCAGTCTGCATTCCCATCAACAGTGCACCAAGGTTCTCTTTTCTCCACAGCCTCGCCAGCACTTGTTGTTTATGTTTTTATGATAGCCATTCTGGCAGGTGTAAGGTGATATCTCATTGTGGTTTTAATTTGCATCTCTCTGATAATTAATGACATTGAGCATTTTTTCATATGTCTATTGGCCATTTGTATGTCCACTTTGGAGAAGTGTCTATTCAGGTCCTTTGCCCATTTTTATTTTTTAAAATGTTGTTATTGATTTCAGAGAGTGGGAGAAAGAGAGAGAAGAAACATCAGTGATGAGAGAGAATCATTGATCGGCTGCCTCCTGCATGCCCCCTATTTGGGATCGAACCTGCAACCTGGTCCGGGAATCCAACCGTGACCTCCTGGTTCATGGGTCAACTCTCAACCATTGAGTCACACTGGCCGGGCCTTTGCTTATTGCTTAATTGCATTATTTGTCTTCCTGGTGTTGAGTTGTGTAAGTTCTTTATATATTTTGGATACTAACCCCTTATCAGATTTATCATTGGCAAATATATTCTCCCATACAGTGGGTTCACTTTTTATTTTGTTGGTGGTTTCTTTTGCAGAAGCTTTTTAGTTTGATGTAGTCCCACTTGTTTATTTTTCCTTTGTTCCCTTGACTGAGGAGATATATTGACAAAAATATTGCTATGAGAGATGTCTGAGATTACTGCTTATGTCCTCTTCTAGGATTTTTATGGTTTCACGACTTAACTCTCTTGACCCTGCCCTTCTCTCCTTCTCCCTTTCTTTCTGCTATACAAATCCCCAGAGGACTGGCCTGGCTGGCCAGAGAGAGAAGTTGCTGGATGATCCTGGGTCCCTTAGGCTCCTTTATCTGAAGAGGGGATTATACCATGACTTCTTTGGATTTGTGGCAAGAATCAAATGAAGCAATAAAGATAAAGCATTTAATAAAGGAATTGGTACATATTGAACAATTAATAAACAACTTTTCTCATACTAAAACCTAAATGTAAGGAAAAATCACTAAGATTTGTTTCATAAAAATGTATTTCACATAAAATGATTCCATATATTATAAAAATAAATGTATAAATTTGGAGGAGTGTTTTCATAGTTTATGGCAAGGAGAATTGGAGAGTAATGTTACTATTTTGTAACATTTGCCCCCAAATAATTCCCATATTGGTATTCTAATGAAAATGGGTTCCCAAAATTCTACATTTTTATCATGTGTCTTTGCTAGCATTTATGCTACACTCTGAACTAACAAATATCAAACGCTAAAAAATTACATATGCATAAAAGTGGGGAAAGGCATATGCATCTTATGTAAATCTCAGTGGAACATACTCAAACCTCTAGCCCTACTAGATACTCCCAGCTCAAACCACACAATGATTTTGGAATAGGGGAGAATTCATGACTATGAGACAATAAGGAGGCTGTTTGGGCATGTGATTTAAAAAAATCTTTAAATCAGGCTGTCCTTATCATTGGATGCCTACTAATGAATATCATTCTCAATAAAGAACCTTCTGGCTCACCCATGTTCTTTCTGTTTGTTAAAATAGCATTCATCTTTTTCTGTAACACAAAGCTAATGCAAACCCACAACAAAATAAAAAGGAAAGAATGTCAAAAGAATGAACTTTTATTTCTGCACTTTTTATTATTAGATGCTATTCCTAACTTGTTAAAATTGATCAAATAGAAAGCTGTGAAAAGAGAAAAAATTAAGCCAACTAGAAAAGTGTGACTTGGATTTAATATTTTATAATTGCCAAGGGACATACTGAGATCAATGAATTTTTGCCTGAGATGAACGTCAGAAAGAGATGTACTTCAGTCTTTTAGGGAACATTGGTCTATTTAATTCTTGTGTCTGATGCATGTGAAATAGGCCTGCCTTGGCCTTCGTTCTTTGCCAGGGGCATTGCCCACAGCAAACATTACCACTTTTAATAGGCCGCTGTCTGAGGAGTGGCAAGGGATCCGATAGCCCATCGACTCTAATGGATCTGCCTGTTTATTCACTTACACCTTTTTCCCAGCTAATTTCAGTTTTGCATGCTGAGTTGTTTCACTTTGAATTAAATGAATAGAAACAAAGGGGAAAGCCTGTGCCGCTAATAAACCGTGATTATGTCCATGCCTCCCTCTCGACAGGCTTCTCCACGGACCAGGAATACTATCTGAGAACAGATTCACTGTGGCATTTTCTCCACTTGTTGACAAAATTAACATTTTATACATGCTCAAATTTAGAGGAAAAATTGGATTATTCAAATCACTTTCTGTCTAATATGCTGTTGTTTGTAGTAGACCTGGATGTCCAGCCTCAGGCGGCCAACGTCCTCAGATTTCAAACACCGGCCAGTGACTCTTCCTGCCTGGAGTCACCCCAGAGCTCTCTGCCGGTCACAGAAGCAGGACAAGTGTCCAAATGCTTTGCTTTGTCTAATGAAACACCAGAGAGACACGTCTGAGTGCCCTTCAACGGAAATAACAGAAGTCAGTGGTTTAAAAACATCCGCCCTCACAAACTCCCTCCTTATGCCCATAGAGCTTGAACGTTCCGGAAACCTTTTAGGCCGATTCCTGCCAAGGGACATGAGAGGCACACAAATGTCCAAATAAGAGAGAGGGGAAAGGGATAGCTTCCCCACATTTTCTGAACGAGAGCCATTTTCTGTTGTGAGGTTTTATCGGAAAGATCCTGACTGCGGAGAGGGTGGGCAGCAACCATCCCTGCCCCTCGGGGACTCCCACTGGTTCCTTGCGGTCCCAGCAGGTTCAAGGGGCTGTCACCTCCCCACCACAGTAAAGCCAACCTCGGTGGAGGGTGGTGGGTGCCTGAGCCCCAGAAAAGGCATCCTCCACTGTGAGGAGGGATGGGGTTCACCTCTAAACAGCTCATGCCCCAAAGGTAACTGCCCCAACGCTGGCACCATACTGTGTGGCTGAGTTGTCTCGTGGCAGAAAATCAATATTATCACCCAATCAGACGCAAAGATGATTTACAAAAAAATCTGGAAAATCTTGAGAAAATTTAGACTTAGCTGAGAGAAATAGAATGTGATCTGTCATGAAACGGAATAAAACTAGGGCCCTTAGAGTGTTAAACGGGATGGCGGCAGCTATCTCAATGAAATTCATTTTCGACAAAGCAATAGCCTCGTATTTTGGCCCTTGCGCAATTAAAATAGGGTGATTTTTTTAGCCCGTGTCTCTCAGCTATAAGCTGTCACTGTAAGAAGAAAAGCCCTTAGCGTCCCAGCTTGTCCAGCTTCACACAATGGCTTTTCTCTTCCCACCAGTTCTCCGACTCCTCAGTGCTGTCTTTCTTGGACTCACATTCCTTAGCCAGGCTTTCTTCCCTCCAAGCCCCACATCACCCAAATAGTCTTTCCTTCAGTCAGCAGCATTTCTTCAGAAAATATGCATCTCCTTTCATCATATGCAAACACTGAACGGGGTGCTCCGTCCTTAGCATGCAGCCGAGTAAGGCGAGCTTCTGTTTGCTAGAGAAATGGAGAAATGCAGTGTGTAGGGTCCCCGGCTCACCTCCCTGCACAGTCATTCAATCCTGCCGTTCAACCCAGAGTATAACGGCCTTCTCTCTCTCATCAACACGGGTTAGCAAAATAGGGCTTCGGTCCACAATACCTGCAGCACTGCCACAAGCGTATCTTCCAAGGGCAAGAAACGAAATGGGCACCTAATAATTATATTTCCCCTCGATTCGTGTGTGTGGACCTGGATCCTCACTCCCAGACCCAGTGTGCAGAGCAGATGGGAACAACGGACTCAAGTTGGAAGTGATTTACTTCATTAGCTGGGATTACAAGTTTAACTTACAAACCAGAGGTCAAAATTTCTCATTAACAAGGGGGCTGTGAATCGCTGCAGGCTTTGGTTCAAGAGGAGACCACTCTTATTACTAACTACACATTTCAATCTGTCTTTGATGTTCTCCTTCTTCCCTCCGCCCTTTTATTTTTTGGCAGAGGAGCTGATTTTAATTGTGGCACTACAGCAAGCTCCCTCCGAGCCGGGAGCAGCCTCCTGTCTGCTGCCACCAAGCGAGCCCGGCTGCAGGAGTGGGTGCAGCCCATCGCTCAGGGCACATTTTAATGGCTCCCCTTTCCTACAAGGCTGGGATTGTTTTCCACGTGATTCTGGTTAATTTTGCTGCAGGAAAGGGCATCAGTTTTCCTTGTGAGCTTCTGATCAGTCTGCCTCAGAGAGGTGAAATATGTTAAAACAGAGAAGGAGACGTCCTTCTAACTTTCCAAATGCAAAGACCAAGCCCAGCACATTCTCCAGCCTCCAGAATAGAGAAAGGACTTTGACAGGGACCACTATGCTAGAATAAGTGCTCTTTTGATAAATCAGCTTTGGTCCTTTACAAAATATGCAAACAGCCTCTTCTCTTCAGAACCACTGCCAAGGGTTAAAAGAAACAACTCGAATGAGATCGCGTCTTTGCAGAGGGCATTGTACTTGGAACTCAAACCCAACACCACAGAATCCTTCTCCAAATAAGAACGCCAGGAAAATACAGCAGCAGCTTGCGGGTTCGTGACACAAAAAATAGATGCTTCACATGCACTTTCTATTTCTAAAGAGCAAGAGCCACATGCAGGCCACGGTGACACAATGACCATTTTCACTAAAACAGGACTTCAAATGCAGTCGCTGATGGAAACGATTACAATATCTAATTATTTAGAAGCATGGCAGTTATCGAAAATAACTAAATTGTTATTCCGGTCTGGCCCGGTTAGAAGGTCACATTCCAGCCACATAAGTCTAAGTACTCCTCAGTCACCATTACTAGGCGGGGACGTGGCTGTTAGCATTTGTTCTCCCGAAAAATGTTTTCTTAGTCGCCCCGCGGAGAGCCCACAGGTGCCGCAGAGGCGTGGATGAGTGCCGGGTGGCCAGTGCCCAGAGGAGAGGCGGCTGCACTGCCCTCGATTCAGAGGACAGAGTCCGCTGCCCGAGCCCGGACTGGCCCCGTTGGCTGCCCCTGACTCGACCGTGTTCTGGGAAAGACAGTTTGCTGTGGAAGCCGGTACGTGGGGAACAGAGCTCTGCACAGTAAGCATGGCTAGCAGGGGCCTATGGGGCTCTGCCGGGACGCCCGGTTCCTTTTCTGTGCCCCTCTGGTCCTTGGAGGGATGACTGTTTCTTTCCTAAAGTTCAGTTTTAGTCCCTTTATGTCTCCAGTTCCCTTTAACAAAAATACTGGTTACAACTCAAGGAATCTGACCTGGAGGGGAAGCGTGTTTCTCAGCTGGAGACCGTAAGCAGCTCAGCCCTGGGAAACCACGTGGCTCCTGGTTGCAGGGGCCGGAGGTAGCCTGGCCATCTGGGCCAGCGACCACTTCCTGCTGCCGGGCGGGCGGCACCCCTGCAGGCCAGCAGGCACCTTGACCAGGCTGCTGGGGCCTCTCGCCCACCCGGGCTCCCGCCCCTCCGGCAGCCTTTCAGTTCCAACAGGGGGCTATCTTAACAACGAGACATCTTAGAAAGGTCATTATTGCTAGTCTAATTTAAAACAGGCACCACAATGAAGGGCTATCTTTGTGTGGGATTAATTTTAAAACCTCAGGATTTGATGTCAGTGGGAAAGAACCAGCGTGGGACTCCTACTGCTGCCTTCTCCTGCTCCTGGCCAGCGCCGGGGGCGCGTTTCTTAGGAGATGAAAAGTCTGACAAGCCCTTCAGTCAAGCTGAAAGCAGGCAGCGGTCCAACAACACCCACGGGCCTCCCGGGCATCCTGTGACCCCTCCGAAAAGTCACATTCACTTTGCTCTTGAGAAAGGAAAAATAATGCTGGAGGCTTTTTATTTTAAACCATGTGAAATAAGGAAATGCGAAGATGCGAAAATGAGGTGGAAAAAAAGTTGGAATTCATTTCCGTCCTTTGCAGTGACTTAGAAGCCAAACTGGTTCATTTTGAAAGAGTGTAAAAATCTGATCCATTCACCACCAGGCAGAGACTACAAAATGCTTAAGGTAAAATATGTAAATATGTAAAATTATCTGTTGAAAACCATCTTCTTTTGTGCTTGAAAGAATTTTTTAAAGCATCTTTATTTCTATTCTGCATTAATATGCTGTTGAACAGAAAAGTTACTTTCTGGCAAAACAACAAAAACCAAGGTGCTGAAAATAGTGATTCTAAAATGAAGTCCACACATAAAGGGAAGGACAAACAGGATTCTACCTTAATGTTCACTTGTGAGGCATTTTCAGTAATAATTTAAAGAATACCATTAATATAAGAAATGCTAGTATCCGTTTTTCAAAAGCTGTATTTGTCAACCTGGCCGGGTGGCTCAGTTGGTTGGAGCGTCGTCCCATAAACCAAAATGTTGCCTGTTGGATCCCCAATCAGGGCACATACCAGGTTGCAGGTTTGATACCCGGTCTGAGCCCATATGGGAGGCAACCAATCGGTGTTTCTCTCTCTCTGTCCCCTTCTCACCTCCCCCTTCCTCTCTCTAAAAATCAATAAAAACACAGCCTTAGGC